CTTAGAAGCAAATTTTCCAGCTTAGCCCAGGTTTCCCGTGTCGGTCCGATCATCTCAAAGCCCGGCATTCAATACTCGAACCTGCCAGTCTTCGCTCACTAATTACTTCCGGGTCAAACGTAAGCCGAGTCCCTCGCATTCCGACACACGCGTACACGGCGTGTTGTGTGTACACACGAGAGGCGCCCCTGTGTTGTCTTGTGTCATCAATAGAAAAGTACTTTACACGGAGCAAATAGATGGGACTTGGAGTTATTGAGTACCGCACGCTTTCTGCACGCTCTAATAACTACACGCCGGCCAACATAAACTGCTGCTAGCTATTTGGGCTATTCCCACACCGCTCTATGGGACTCTTTAGTCTGTGTTTTTACCTCACAATATAGAGACACTAGGGCTGACTCAGTATACTATATTATCAATTCTATGGCCCTCTAAGTTATATAGCAATACCAGGACTCTATACAATATAGCTGTATTTATATCATAGCAGGCTCTATGACTATGTTGGATCGTTAGAGCTCTGCATTGTACAGAAGTTCTAGGTGTATCTCCATGATATAGATATACTAGGGCTCTTTGCATGGTGTATGTCAACGATATGCCGTAATAGGGCTCTGTATATAGTAGCCTTATGGGTCTTTCTATAAGATAATGACACTAAAGATCTCCCTTCGTAATATAGAAACAATAGGGCTCTCAACATAATGGCAATACTAGGGCTCTTTATTGCTGTCTCTGTGTCTACTGGAAAACTGTAAGGACTCTCGGGTTCACGCTAATACAAGGGCCCTGGCTTTTGCTCTCTCCATCCCACAATCATCGGGGGTCCACAGCTCTCGAGACTTAGTTCTATCAGAATTTTAAGCTACCAGTGACTCCCATGCTATTGAGTGGTAAAGTCTCTAATGCAGTGGTCCCCACACTTCACAAAATAGCAACTTGTTTTTTTTTAAATATTCGTATCACAACCAACCACCGTATGGTTGAGTAGGCATAGTCCTAAAGATTTGGTGCTTCCCATGCTATAATAGCTACTATCCCAGAAAATATTAGAACCGCTGCACTATCTATTTCTTCACCCCAAAGAATAATTTCAGCGCGACACATTCAGAGAATACAATATGCCTTAAAAAAACCTAGAAGAATTTAAACAGAATAATCACATAGGTTTTATAACTTAAGCTTCGACAAATACGCACCCTGCATGCTCTTGCAACAAAAACATGGCCGATAATGTGAACTTAACAGGACGTTTTGACAACAAAGTCTGTAGACAAGAGAGAGGAACTCTACCTGATAGGGGAACACAATGTACCCAATGTCGGTCTGGTAATCCGTGAGTCTCGGAGACAGGGGGGGGGGGGGGGGTGTAATTACGTGGTCCCGGGGAGGAGCTTGGTTATTATGTTAAACTTTAATACAGGCTGCAGGTTAGGCTGGGGATGATGGGAGGGGTGGGATGAGGGGCGTTCTTAGCTAAGCCGTGGAACCTGCAGTTCAAAAACTACACCATGTTACACTTTTTTTTAGTGTGCATCGTGGTCAGGTTCCTTGACGTCATGAAGTAGATTGTAATGTGTGTCTCCACCCTACAAATACACCCACACTACCAATAAATCCATGCATCCACCACTAGATCCACCCTACCATCAGTACATAATCCACCCTCCCACTACATCCACCCTCCCACTACGTCCACCCTACCACCACTACATCCACCGTGCCACTACATCCACCCTCCCACTACATCCACCCTCCCACTACATCCACCCTCCCACTACATCCACCATCCCACTACATCCACCCTCCCACTACATCCACCCTCCCACTACTACATCCACCCTACCACCACTACATCCACCATGCCGGTACCATTTAGAGTTGAATAAAATCGATTATCTTTACATAACACACCCGGGGCCTGTATTCTCTCCAGGAATTCGAACCCAGACCCTTCAAGTAAAAGATCCCACGGTTTCCATCAAAGATCGGGTCTCGCTATCAGATTCCCTTTATTGGGGCCAGTGTAAGGCCTGAGGGAGGGAGGGGGGGGGGGTTAGATAATTGACCTAGAAGCCGCTGAGGATAATATTTAAAACCCAATCTTTTCAACTATTATGTGTATACAACCGTAAGCCCCCACGCATATGTTCGGTCTGGAGTTCTTTAGCCTAATTTTATAAAACATCTCTGGGCTTCGTTTGGATCTTGTTGACTAAGGGCGACAACCATCACAGCAACGACTTCAACATTAAATGTCTTTTATGGCCGTTCTTCGGTCTAATCCCACCAGTCTCGCTGAATATTTATAAACAGAATGGGCGTCTTTTTATGGATATAAACAAGGTCGGGGGTATCATGTAGCGCTATAAACGTTTATCATGTATCCAAAGTGTATACGCGGTGTGAACAGAGTTACAGCACTTTAAGAAATTAGTATAGAGTTGCAGGTTTAAGATGAAATAAACTCGTTTTTTACTTTCCAGGCAGTGATTTAACCCAACACCTATTCGACGGTAAGCGACCTTGTCGGATCTTCTGGTCTGACTCAGTGAAAAATACAGATGACTGTGTAAATTAAAGCGACACTAACATAATCAAGTAACGCATGCGTAGAAGCATGTTTACAAATTCGTGTTGCTGGTATCTGCCGTGTGTCAATACAGCATCAGCATACCTCCATGACGTCATCATGTGTAGGTGTGTGCACACACCTGGTGTATGACCTGGTATGTCGCGCGACACGTGAGAAACACGCATACAGGTGATATTTATTGTCGTCTGCTGGTTTTAATTGGAAGACGTATGTGCTGGTCTAATTGGAGGTAATTGGATGGGAGGGGAGGGAACTACTGTTTGTTTTGTGTAAATAGGTACTCTTCAAAAGTGTGCGCCGGTTCTTCACCGCTGGTTTTTACTTTCTCGTATATACGAAGTATAGAGAAAGTCTTGTAATCGTGCAAAAAAAAAAAAATCGAGATTTTTTTACAAATCTCGACGTTTTACACCTCACTGATACGGAAAAACATAATTTTGCAATCTTGTCCGTATGTCTGTCTGTCTGTGTCTGTGTGTGTGTGTCTGTCTGTCTGTGTGTAAACACGATAACTTGAGTACCGTTACAGCTAGGTTGATGAAATTTCATATATAAGTATTTTATTAAAATCGTAGATCCGTATCAACTTTTGAGCGATTTCCGATAACCGGAGGTGGTACTTTTTCTACTTTGAATTTTTCAAAAGCCTATAACTTGAGTACTATTTCAGTAAGATAAATGAAATTTCACATGTAAGTAAAAGATCTAATTCTTTACGTTCTGTCAAATTTTGAGTAATTTCCATTGACCGGAAGTACTAATTTACGCTATTTCCGATTTCTCAAAAAAAAAAACGCATGTAAATTTATAAAGTACTAATAATATTGCGCACTATTATGCACATTTTGTTTTGGCGTTCGTTTGGTGCGCAATTCTTTTTTCTACTAGATTTTATTCTATTTTTAAAAGTTTAAGTAAAAAAAATCATGTCTATATTCCGAGTTGCCATCCCACGTAGTGTTATATTAGAATATTCGAGAAAGTTTAGGGGAGATCACTCCCGGTTTATTTCAAGATAAAGTAGAAATAATGTAGTGGAGGTGTATTAACTATGGAATTAAATTCTAATTGCTAATTAACCTCTGCATGCATGTGTGTTCGTCTTTTTTAAAACGCTATGAATAAATTATTAAAATAAGACATTACCCCCGGATAATTTTCCTTTCATTACCCCCCCCCTCAAGAGTAACTCACCCCATCCCATGTATAATACATATCCCTATGGAGCCTCCTTTCCTTATCAGGATCTCTATACCTAATCGTATTTTATCCTTATCCCTTACTATATCCCAAATTCTATCCTTATCCCGAACCCTAACTATCAAGGTGTAATATCGTACTGCGGTTTTATTGGGAGGGGGTGATGTAAAGAGGGGACTTGATCGGGAAGGGTTGGTGGCTATGAGAAAATAAGATGGGGGGGAGGGGGGGGTAAATGACGTTTATAAACTGGCACTGGTAAGTTTTATGACTAACATGAGTAACGTGACTAAAATGACATCAGTGACACGACTAAAACGACTGACGTCAGTGACATGACTGAAATGACAACAGTGATAAGCACACGAACGAGGCCGAGTACTTGTCAATCACAAAAAGCCAAAGTTTCCAGCAATATAATTTAGCCATCCAATATAATGTAACCATACAATATAATTTAACCATCCAATATAATATGACCATCCAATATATAGAAATTCAAACCCCACAAGGATACATTTAACCCTTCATTATAATCCACATGTGTACACTTAACGCCCACATGTATAACTGCCCAGGTGAATATTCACCCCTACAGGTAAAACCTCACAGGTATACACATACCCCTACATATTCAACTTCCCAGGTATACATTCACCTTTATAGGTCAAACCACCAAGGTATACATTGACCCCTACAGATCAAACCACCCAGGTATACATTTACCCCTACATATTCAACTGCCCAGGTATACATTTACCCTTACCGGTAAAACTGGCCAGGTATACATTGACCCCACAAGTCAAACCATCCAGGTATACAATGACCCCTACAAGTCAAACCATCCAGGTATACATTGACCCCTACATATTCAACTGCCAGGTATACATTGACCCCCACAGGTAAAACCACCCAGTTATACATTGACCCCCACAGGTAAAACCATCCAGGTATACATTGACCCCTACATATTCAACTGCCAGGTATACATTGACCCCCACAGGTAAAACCACCCAGTTATACATTGACCCCCACAGGTAAAACCATCCAGGTATACATTGACCCCTACATATTCAACTGCCAGGTATACATTGACCCCCACAGGTAAATCCACCCAGTTATACATTGACCCCCACAGATCAAACTATCCACATATACAATGACCCCCACATGTAAACCACCCAGGTACTCTGGCACTCACCTTGTTGTTGTTCTGGTCGTACAGCAGGTACACGATTTGCACTATCTGCTCCTCGTCTGAGCCCAGCTCGTCCGCGTTCTTTCCCGCGGTGGTGACGAAGAAGCAGACGATATGTGGCAGGGAGGCCATGGCTGGGCGCTCTCTCGGGGTGCGGCCTGGGCGAGGGGGGTGCCGTTGTTAGAATCTCCACACAGGTGGGCGGGCAGAAGTCAGAGATCTGGGTGCCGTTGCTAGAATGTCCACAAAAGTGGGTTCTGTTAAACTCCAAAGATTTCTCGGACCTCTCCTGACCAGCGGGAGATTGTCTCAAAGTTTTATTTTATCACAAGCTTGTAAAGATGCACAAGTTATTCCAGCTTGTTTTTCTCATGTAGTTACCTGTTCAATTATAATCAAGATGAAATTATGTTATTTTTAAGATTATTTCTGAAAATTAAAATTGGAAAATACTGTAAAGTGTCAAGTGACAACAGAAGTTTTAAGATAGATTGAATGAATATGGAAAAAAATCAGGAATTATAACAAATTTTAACCATAAGATCAATTAAAATACTACAGCTCATAGTTTCCACAATAAAAAAAAACAACTTTATATTTATGTGCACTTATACCTCTGTGGTATATTTCTAAAATAAAAGGTATGACCCAAAGAAAACACTAGCTATCACGTGACTTAAACAAACACTGAGTCACATGACCACCATGTCAACGTCTATCAAGTACTTTCAAACAAGACACCATGACCGTAGCATGTCTATATTAGTTGACCTAGTTATATCAACGAGTTTAAAAAGTCCTCATCGCGAGAGTTTCAGATATACCAGAATTCGACGGGAACACAGGCCGCAACCGAACTCATTTGTTTATCAATGAGGATCCAAACTCTTATTTTTACAAGTGTCGTTTGCGCACTCCCGCCCTGAACATAAGGAAGTTGTGTGGAAACGAGACTAAACTCTTCGAATGATAGGACCATGGGGGAAGTACGTATGTGGTATGCCCCCCCCCCCCCCCTATAACTTGCAATAGTAAAATTGACGCCAAACACGTGGATCGAAGTTCGAACTCAATAAGATAGGTTTCATAGTCGTTTGATGCAACACATGTAGATTTTTTTTCTTAGAGCTTGGCGCCCTCAGCAACGCAGAATGAGCTAACAAATTGGCAAGAAAAAACAGAACACCTCAATGTAGATAGAGATGGTCATAAACTATGGAGTATTGCAAAAAGGCTAAGCCAAGAAGAAAACAGAGCTACTCCCATAGTCATCGACATTGAAAACACGATCAAAACAGAAAAGGATGCAGCAAAAGAATTTATAACCCACTTCAGCAAAGTGGGACAAATAAATATCAGCCACCAAAGAGTAGAAGAGGTTAAAAATCAAACTGAAGTTAAAGAAAAACTACAGAAAGTCTCTCCCCCCTCCTCCACTGGAATGGTAGCTCGAATTAGCAAGAAGGAGCTCGGAGAAGCAATGAAGCTCCTCAAACTTAAGCAAGCTCCAGGCCCTGACAAAATCTCAAATGATATGCTCATGCACTTGGGCCCCAATGCTAAGAAAAAACTGCTCCAAATATTTAATGCAAGCTGGAAATCTGGGAAAATCCCAAATATTTGGAAAAAAGCAATCATGATACCTGTTCTAAAAATAGGAAAACCCAGGAACAAAGTCGATAGCTATCGCCCAATAAGTTTAACAAGCTGCGTTTGTAAACTGATGGAAAGAGTAGTAAACAACAGACTGACCTGGTTTCTAGAATCGAACAATCTACTAGCAGACGAACAGGCAGGCTTCAGGAAGTGCAGATCTACTGAAGACCAAATCACCTTCATTTCTCAGGAAATAGAAGATGGCTTTCAAGAAAAAAAACCAACCTCAATAGTGTGGGTCGACTTTGAAAAAGCCTTTGACAAGGTTTGGGAGCAAGGCTTAATTCTAAAGCTAATAAACCATCAAGTATCTCATAACATGCTAAACTGGATAAAAGGTTACCTAAGCAACCGAAAAGCATCAGTCTCCATGCAAGGAAAAAGAAGTCACACAGTAACTATAAAAAATGGAGTCCCTCAAGGAGGAGTCTTGTCTCCTACTCTCTTCCTCATTTATGTAAATGACTTAAATGAAAACATCCCAAGGAGAGTAAAAAGAAGCATGTTTGCAGACGACCTCTCACTAATCAGCACAGAGGAATATATTGGTACCTCAAAATTTCGTCTTCAAGAAACACTTGACAAGCTCGGCAAATGGACCAAAAACTGGGGCTTATCCATCAATACCAAGAAAACAACTTATTCAATCTTCACCTTATCAACTAAACATCAAAAAATGAAACTTACCCTAGAAAACCAAGAGCTAGAAAAAAATGACCACCCCAAATACCTAGGAGTCACTTTTGACACTCGACTTACCTGGAGAAAACAAATAGAAAACACACAAAGTAATGGGATCAAAAGACTTAATCTAATGAGGAAACTGGCAGGAACAGACTGGGGAGCAAATCACCACATCCTGAAAAAAACCTACACCAGCTATGTGAGACCTACGTTAGAATATGGTGCTTCGGCTTGGGGCTCAGCAGCAAAAACAAATATTAGCAAAATTGACAAAGTTCAGAACATTGGTTTGAGAATAATGACAGGAGCCATGAAAACAACACCCATAAATGCTATGGAGGAAATAGCCGCTCTTAGCTCAATAGAAGAAAGAAGAGAATCAAAAATCCTCACTCATTACACAAAGCTAGAGGCACTGGAAAACCATAACCTAAAACAAAAACTCCAGAAACCCAGTCCATCAACCAGACTACAAAGAACAAGTTTCATCAAAGAAGCAAAGAATCTGAAAAAGAAATATGAAATCGAAAATATCATTCCTGAAGCAATAAAAACTCAAAACCTCTCCCCGCCTTGGATCTCCCACTGTCACTTAACCATTATTGACTCAATAGACACCATAGGAAAAAAATCTGACTATGATCTAGAAGAACTTAAGAAAATAACAAATAAACACATTAAGGATCAGTACCCCAGCAATACCTGGATTAGAGTTTTCACAGATGGCTCAGCTGAAGATGCCACAAAAAACGGCGGGGCTGGCATCCTTATTGAATGGCCAAGCGGAAAAAGCCTGGAAAAGGCAATAGCCACAGGCAGCCTATCCGACAATTTTAGGGCAGAAAAAGAAGCTTTAGAACACGCAGCAAACCTCCTGTCAGAACACCCTGAATCACCGAATAGTCAGATTGTATTTCTTACAGATGCCAAATCAGTCCTGCAATCCCTACAAAATCCGGAGGCCTATATTCAAACACTCATGACAGCACTAGAGAGGCTAAAAAATACCTGCAGCAGAATTGTGCTGCAGTGGATCCCGGACCACTGCCAGATCCAGGGTAACGAGATCGCAGACCAGCTGGCAAAAATTGGGGGAAAGAAACCACAACCGGAAATTTCGCTACACCCAAAAGAAATAAAAAGAATAATTAAACACAAACAAACGCAAATGTGGTCTGTCACACACCCTCACTACATTAAAGACGACGGCTATTACAATTTAACACGAAAACAACAATACATAATCTTTCGACTTAGAACAGGCCACAACAGACTAAATCAACACATGCACAAAAAACTGAAGGTTGGGTGTAGCGAAATGTGCCCTTGTGGCAAGGCCCCGGAAAACACGGAGCACGTACTCCAGGATTGTACTCTGTATAGCCAGGCAAGAGGCAGACACTGGCCCCAGCCCACCCCACTCAGGGAAAAATTATATGGGACACCTGACAAACTGGAAACCACAGTCCGGTTTGTCCATGAAGTTGGACTTGTTGTCTAATTCCTCCACCATAATCAAAAATTAAGAACGAAGAAGAAGAAGAAGAAGCTAACAAATGGACAATAAGCCAAGTCTTGCGCAGGGCCCATCAACCAACAAATTAACAAAGTAGTGCTATTCCCATCATACAACAATCAACAAATATACAAAGTGGCGCTGGGCCCATCACCCAACAACCAACAAATGGACAAAGTAGCGCTGGGCCCATCAACCAACAAATGGACAAAGTGGCGCTGGGCCCATCACCCAACAACCAACAAATGGACAAAGTAGCGCTGGGCCCATCAACCAACAAATGGACAAAGTAGCGCTGGGCCCATCAACCAACAAATGGACAAAGTGGCGCTGGGCCCATCACCCAACAAATGGACAAAGTAGCCCTGGGCCCATCAACCAACAAATGGACAAAGTAGCGCTGGGCCCATCAACCAACAAATGGACAAAGTAGCGCTGGACCCATCAACCAACAAATGGACAAAGTAGCGCTGGACCCATCAACCAACAAATGGACAAAGTAGCGCTGGATCCATCACCCTACAACCAACAAATGGACAAAGTAGCGCTGGGCCCACATCCAACAAATGGACAAAGTAGCGCTGGGCCCATCATCCAACAACCAACAAATGGACAAAGTAGCGCTGGGCCCACATCCAACAAATGGACAAAGTAGCGCTGGACCCATCAACCAACAAATGGACAAAGTAGCGCTGGGCCCATCATCCAACAACCAACAAATGGAAAAAGTAGCGTTGGGTCCATCACCCAACAACCAACAAATGGACAAAGTAGCGCTGGGCCCAGCATCAAACAACCAACAAATGGACAAAGTAGCGCTGGACCCATTATCCAACAACCAACAAATGGACAAAGTAGCGCTGGACCCATCAACCAACAAATGGACAAAGTAGCGCTGGACCCATCAACCAACAAATGGACAAAGTAGCGCTGGACCCATCAACCAACAAATGGACAAAGTAGCGCTGGGTCCATCATCCAACAAATGGACAAAGTAGCGCTGGACCCAACAACCAACAAATGGACAAAGTAGCGCTGGACCCATCAACCAACAAATGGACAAAGTAGCGCTGGACCCATCAACCAACAAATGGACAAAGTAGCGCTGGGCCCATCACCCAACAAATGGACAAAGTAGCGCTGGGCCCATCAACCAACAAATGGACAAAGTAGCGCTGGGCCCATCAACCAACAAATGGACAAAGTAGCGCTGGGCCCATCATCCAACAACCAATAAATGGACAAAGTAGCGCTGGGCCCATCATCCAACAAATGGACAAAGTAGCGCTGGGCCCATCATCCAACAAATGGACAAAGTAGCGCTGGGCTCATCATCCAACAAACAACAAATGGACAAAGTAGCGCTGGGCCCATCATCCAACAAACAACAAATGGACAAAGTAGCGCTGGGCCCAACAACCAACATATGGACAAAGTAGCGCTGGGTCCATCATCCAACAACCAACAAATGGACAAAGTAGCGCTGGGCCCATTATTAAACAACCAACAAATGGACAAAGTAGCA